GAGGAGGAAGGAAATTCTCTCTTACAAACCTGAGTGTACCAGTAAGCGCAGGCTCCCAAAACCTGGTAAAGCAAGGAGAGTAGGAGGTGGAATTGGCCGTGTGTGTGTGTGTGTGTGTGTGTGTGTGTGTGTGTGTGTGTGTGTGTGTGTGTGTGTTTAGGCTAATTGTCTGATTTCTTGTAGGCAGGTGCACTGTCTGTCTGCAGAGCATATTTGAGGATCAAATTTCTCCTTTCATAAAAGTAATGGAAGATCCAAGTGAGGTATTTTCAGACAAGGAAGTAAATAAAAAAGCTCTAACCCTTCCAGCTTCTCTTTAAGAACTTTCTCTGTTTCTTCCCAAGTTCCCTCCAGCCAACAGGAAGGAGAAAAAGGACAAACCCAGCTCAGACTGGGCTGCGCTGGTTGGATTTTGAGATCCTTTATGAACTGTTACGAGGGGTTATTGGGGAGAGGGGTGAGTCACACGTCCTAGGACAGGAGGCACTGCGTTGGAGTGCTGCCTAAGACTCCAGCTTCTTCGAAGTAGTGTACCTGGCTACTCTTTTGCTTCTTTATTGCTTATTCAATATTCATTTGTCAAAGGGCAAGATGCTAATGTGTATTATTAAAACATCAATAGTTTATGAGTGAACTTTCATGGCAAGTACAGTTAAAGGCAAGACTCTTGACCATCCCTGTCAGAAGCAATGATAAGGAATAATCTTTTTTTTCCAGTTCCACTTTTTCTTTACCTACTGGGTGAATGAATAGCTGAACCATTATTGAATGCCTACTGCATGCCTACTGAATGGCTTAAGATGTCATTGAGTACCCACAGCAATCCTGGAAAGAATGTGTAAATCTCATTTCTCTTCTAGACATGAGGAATCTGAAGGCCAAAGTCAGATGCCTGCAATCAACAAAGGTGCTAAATCTAAAGGCTGGGATTGCAACTCAAGTTTTGGATACCAAATCCAACATTTTCCCCTCAAGCTAGAACTTTGGAAATCTAAATGACCTTCATGTATCTATATTTCCAAATTAAACTGTTTCTGGAAGCCAAGTTTCATGAAAAGACGAAGATCAGAAAGAGTCATCCTATAGTTTCCTACTAGCCCATCAACACAAAGAAGGGGTCCTATGAGAAAATGCACCCCAAGTGCACAGCGGCGTGTCTAGCATGAAGTAAGTACCAGGAAGTGTTAATCACTAATATTAACATGAAACTATGGAAGAACTCAAGACTCTCCCTCCAATCCCAAATATCCCCTCATCAAGATGAAGACCACTTGCCCCTCTCTTTCTTACTCTCCTTTCCAGCATTAGCTATTGTTAGATTTCAGCCTTTGGGAAGACAGTCTGTTACTGTTTCTACTCTTCGACTGCTTGGGTTTTGTTTCTGTCTTCTTAAATCATAACAAGGCAGCCAGAGCACTCAGATCATCTTCCAAAATTTCACTGTATTTCTATCAAGGACACAGGAAATAGAAGGAAGCCTGGTTTTACTTAAGGGTACAGCTTCCCCATATAAGAATATATAGCAGAGGGGGGAAAAAAGGAGAACGAGGGCTGCTCACAATTTCCCATCCCTAGCAAGACTCTTGTAGACTTTTAGGCCCTGATCTTTGACTAGCCCTATCTCAATATGGAAGCACATGGTGATGGAGATAGGGGTAATCTGGATGCACACAAAGAGTCCAGCCTGTGAAGTCCTTGGTCATCGGTCTAAGATGTTCCAAACCCCAAACTTCAAGCTGCAGGTTGCAAAGTGGACTTACTTTTCACTGAGGTGGAGGTTTCTGTCATAAGTAGGACAGACCTCCCCTTCCCCCCAGCACGCCATGTTCCAGCATAGCTTGGTCTTCAGAGGCACTTTCCTCTGAGATATTCTGAGATAGGACAGTTCTATTTCTCTAAAGCACAGGTTTCCTTACCCCATCGTCCTCAATCCTCCAAAGAATTCATCCATTCTTCTGGAAAATATTTGAGGCCAGTTATACCAGACCACTAGCAGATATTTGACAAATACTAATAGTAGATTAGTATATCCCAAGATGGCTGCAACTATACATAGGACCCCTATATATATATATATGGGGGTCTCCAACAAGCACAGGTGGAAAATGCTTGGGAAAAATGTGTCTGCACTGAACCTGTGCAGAGTTTTTTTCTTGTCATGATTCCCTAGACAACATAGTATGACAGGTATTTACATGATATTTAAACTGCACTAGGTCTTATAAGTAATCTAGACATGATTTGAAGTATACAAGAAGAAGATATGCATGGGTGGTATGCAAATACTACACCTGCCACTTTATATAAGGGACCTGGACATCCACAGATATGGGCATCTGCAGGTACTGGCACTAATCCCCAGAGGTAAGGAGGGCTGGCTGGTAGATAGATATAAATAAATAGAAAGAGAGATAGAGATAGAGATATATTATATTTGTTATTTGACAGATTATATATATATATATATACATATACACACACACATTCCACTCCTCCTGCCAGTCTCTCAGGGAGATGTGCCACACTGTGGAGAGGTGGTGGCAGCTGTGTTTGCATCTGACCCAATGAAAGGACTGTGGGGGCCTGGGGGGTGCTGCCAGGCTTCAAAGGGTAGGTCAGAAAAGCAATGCAGCTTCTTCTTCCTGGATTTTGCTCTCAGGATATTTTTTTCCCCTTGAAACTGGGCAACCATATTGTAAGGAAACCCATACCACATAAAGAGACTATAGTTGATGGCTCCTGTTAACATCTCAGCCAACAGCCAGCCTCAAAGCCCAAAAAATATGAACAAGTCTGCTAGTTCAAGCACCCAGCTTTTGAGTGGCCCCACCTGGAACCCCAAACTCTAGTGGTACATAGACAAAGTGTTCCCATGATGCCCTGTCTAAATTTCCAACTCAAGTTATATGAGCTGAATAAATACTCAAGTACTACATTTGGGGGTAACTGGTTATACAGCCTGCTAACTTAGATACCAACTGGAAGTAGAAGGTTGCTATTTCTCAGTCAGAGCCAACTCTCGTCTCTCTTCTCTCTGACACTTTGAACTTTCAGACCCTTTTCTTACCTGGCATCCATCACTCAGAGCCTACCTCTTCCTTTCTCTCTCTCTCTAAAAAAAAAAAAAAGCAGGATCCTCATGCTTGAGGATGATCAAATGATCATTTGAACCCTACCCATTGCAGAACCTGGGATCTGAAAAGGCCCACCATTTTAGTTCCTCACTGCAGGTCCAAGAGCATCCCTGTGAGGGAGCTTTCCCTGGGTGTGAGTGGCCTAGTGCCCAGGAGGTACCTGGCTGCCCTCCAGGGCAGGGCTGGGGAAAAGTACAGACAGATTTCTCCCCCACCCTCAGCTCTCATTAAGGTTCACGCTCAGCTTGTTCCTCATACTTGACTTGACTTATGAGGTCCCTCTAACCTCCGGTGCAAGGAGACATCGATTCTCACAAAGGTCATTATCTTCTACTCCGGCTCCCCCACCCAGCCTCAGCTCCAGCTCTAGGAAGGCTTTCCTGGAACAGGATGGAGGGAGGCACCCTTCCCTGCCCCCCTTGGCCCGGGGATCTGACCACTCCACAGCCAGGGCTGCAGAGGAGGTGCCCTGGGAGCCGCAGCCCGTCAATCACAGAAGCGACCAGCACTGAATTGCAGACCATTAGGCAGGATGGCCGGCACCCTACTCACTCACCGGGCAGCCATCGGCAGGATGTTAGCTGATCGCAGGGCGGCCATTCTTATGATTTATTCAAATACTCATTACAGTCAATCTATTTTTACACAGAGGTGAAGATGTGCACTGATCACGGTTAATCATTTATAATTCCATGAACTGGTTGGAAGCCAATGTACTATCAAAGTCGTAGCAGCACCAACACAGCTTCAAGGTAGCCCCAGAAAGTAAGGTGAAGAATCCATGCTGGCACAGGGCAACCTGGTCACCTGCTAATATTCACCAGACCACAGCTAGGCTGAGGGTGCAAATGAAATGGGAATTCCCAGGCTCTCCCCTCCAGGAGCTCCTGCCCTCCTTGGAATAGCGCAGAATCTCTGAAAAGGGAGAAATTACTTCTAGATGGTGTTACTGGAGACAGGAGGAGGGCATGCTTCATGGGCAAAACTGAGCTTTGGTCAGGTTCTACAGGTGGATAGACTTACAGAGATCCTAACATGAGCCGCTGAGGATAAGCATAGGTAGAGAGAGCCCGTATTGGACAGATAGAGGAGAAATGAAGCATTTCTTTTTTCCTCCTTCACACCTTCCCAAAAATAGCCAGATGTAAAAGGAAGGGCAAGCCGGGCACCGGTGGCTCACACCTATAATCCTAGCTACTCAGGAAGCTGAGCTCTGAGGATTGTGGTTCAAAACCATCCAGGGCAGGAAAGTCAGTGAGATTCTTATCTCCAATGAACCACCAGAAAACCGGAAGTGCCGCTGTGGCTCAAGTGGTAGAGTGCTTGCCTTGAGCTGAAGAGCTGAGGGACAGCGCCCAGGCCCAGAGTTCAAGCCCCATGACCAACAACAACAACAAAAAAGTAAGGGCCGGCTCTGAACTTGGCCCAGTTTGGGAAATGATGTTGCCATATCCTCTTTGCACTGACCTCCCACCTCCTCCAAACACACACACACACACACACACACACACACACACACACACACACACACACACACGTTCAACCTACAAGCAGTGGTTAAGGTCCAGGTTGACCTTACAAACTCAAGAGCTTCCTTCCCCAGCACTCATGACACACGTAACACATCAAGACAACCTTAATGCCCAATCAATACAGTCTAATTAAAGAGCATGTCATATTATGGGGCTCCTTTGTCACACTCCGACATAATCTAATTAGAGCTCCACTGTATTTTACATTCTGACTAGCTCATTGTTCAATGGAACTCCTCCACAATACACGGCTGTTAAAGATCGGGTTCAGAGCTGGTCTTGAACCCTTAACCTTATTGAGTCAGTGTGGAAAATGCCAATCAAAGTTACTTACAGTTCACAGCCTCCTTTTTCGTGAGCAGCATGGAGAACAGAAAGCCTCAGAGTCCTGCTCCAGACTTCACCTGCGGAAAAAAAAAAAGAATACATCTTTATAGATTGGGTAAGAAGGTGGGGGCAGGTGGTGAGAGCCAGGGTGGGGGTAAGGATGGACCCAGGGTTTGGGGATCTGCTCAGAGCAAGGCTGAGGCAGGCAGCCTTGTGCCCACAGCACTGAATGGAAAAGTTTCCTAGCAAAGAATTCTTAGTACAAAATGATGATTGTTTTAAGCACTAACCAGCACAGAGAGACAGTTTCATGCCCTCCTCTATATGCTGGGTGCCTCATTTCTTTTGCGTTTCTGGTCCCTTCTCTATAGGAAATACAGAACAAAAAGAGTTCTTGACTGTGTGGCCGTTGAGCACCCCACCCCCAAGCTGTCCAAGGCAATAACCAGTTACCGGAGCTCTTAACCAGTGTTTGACCCGGTGAGGGACAACAGAGCTGAGCAAACCCTGTGAAAACTTGCAATCTAAACAAGGAGAGCTAGCTTGGCTGTACATGGTAGGAAAATGAAGATCTTGCTTGCAGGAATGAAGCAGAGTCCAGTTGTGTGGGAAAGAAAATGTGCATGGGAAAGAATGATAGAGAAGCCAGGCGCTGGGGACTCACATCTGTCATCCTAGCTACTCAGGAGGCTGAGATCTGAGGATCACAGTTCAAAACCAGCCCAAGCAGACAAATTCACAAGACTCTCCAATGGACCATCAAAAAGCCAGAAGTAGAGGTGTGGCGCAGGTGGTAGAGTGCCAGGCTCTGAGTTCAAGCCTCCGTAGTAGCATAGAGAAAAAACATGTTTCAAATTGCCTTCCTGGGATAAAACAATTTTTAAAACAGCACACATTTATCTGCTGTCTGCTTCATGAACTACACTTGCTACATGCAAGGGGAATGAATCCATGGGAAGTGTTACAAAGACATTGCCCCCACTCACTGAGAAAATAAGACTGCCCAAATCAAGCCACCCAAATAAAACAACTGTATAAAAACTTGTGTTAAGAGCTGAACCTGGTGGTACCTGCCTGTCACCTCAACTATTGAAGTGGCAGAGACAGAAGAATTGAGATCTGAAGCTGGCCCAAGCAAAAGTTTGAGACCTTATCTGAGAACCTAAAAGCAAACAGGTCATGGCTCATGTGATAGAGTACTTGAATAGCAAGCATAAGGCCCTAAATTCAATCTTCATTATGACCAAAAACAAACAAAGTGGTATACAACTATAATCCCAGGTTCTCTATACTGTGAGGCAAAAGCCAGCCCAGGCAAAGTTAGAGATCCACATCTCAACAAAATAAAATGCAACAACAAAAGCCAAAAACAAGAAAGGGCTGAGGCCATGGCCCAAGTGGTAGAACACTTGCTTAGGATATGTGAAGCCCTAGGTTCAATGCCTAGTACTGAAAAACATTGGTTTAAACTGTGTTATACTGATAATCATTCTCTCTCCCTGGAGAAATGAGGTTGGCAGGGAAAAAATGTGAAAGAGATCTTAGGAGACTGGATAGGTAAGACTTAGCCAGTGGAAGATAGGGAGAGTGTTGAAAGGGAGGAGAATTCTAATGTTGAGAAGTCAAGCCATGTGTTAAAAGGCTTGGTTCCAGTGCGGTGCTCTTTGAAGGCGATGGTACCTTTGAGAAGTGGGTGGGGCCTAGTGGGAGTACTTTAGGTCATTGGGGGATCCTGAAAGGGATTGTAGAACCTTTGTTTCTTCCCTTCTGCTTCCCAGCCATGAGCATGTGTTTCTGTCATGAGTGCTTGCCTGACCGGAGGCCCGAAGCAGTGAGTGCAACCAACCATGGCCCAGAACCTCCAAAACTAAGAACCAAAGGAACCATTTCTCTTCAGATGTTGATTGTCTCAAATTTTATATTATTTACTTTTGTATAGCTGTAGCCAAAACACTTGATGCAAACAGGAAGGAAGAATTTATTTGGGTTCACAGTTTCAAAGGGTTCAGTGCATGATTGCTCAACTCCTTGCACTTGGGCAGAACATCATGGTAGCATAGTAGTGGGAATATGTGCAAGAAGTTTCTTCATCTGTACATCATCTTGACAATAAAAAAAAAAGAAGTTTCTTTATAGTTAGGCATTGGTGGCTCATGCCTGTCATCTTAGCTACTCAGGAGGCTGAGATCTGAGGATTGTGGGTCAGAGCCAGCCTGGGCAGGAAAGTCTGTGAGACTCTTATCTCTACTAAACTACCAAAAAAAAAAAAAAAACCAAACACCAAAAACCAAAAATGGGTCTGTGGTTCAAGTGATAGAGGACTAGCCTTGTACTCAAAAAGCTCTGGGAAAGTACCCAGGTCCTGAATTCGAGTCCCAGGACTGGCACAAAATTAAAAGAAGGAGGAGGAGGAAGATGAGGAGGAGGAAGAAGAAGTTGTTGTTTCTTCACTTCCTGGCTTTATGAATTACTTCTTCAGGAGATTCTTAGAGGGAATCTAACCCTGCTGTATCTTGTCTAGCCTCCCAGGACTTCCTCTGAAATCTCCATGGAAATTTTCATGACCCCCATAATTCTTATATTCTGCATTCATATAAAGCCAGCATCCATAAACACTCAAGCAGTAGCACAACTGGGACCACAACTGCAGCCACATCTGAGTGCTTGAGTGGTTGAACGTAGGAAAACACTTCACTAGTGTAAACAGGGTACCCTATCAGTTCTCTCTTCCCAAGGGAAGCTATTGGTGCACAGTCTTACACCTTATAACCTGTGATTGGTGGGGTCTAGCCATTTCCTGAGATGCTCTCAAGGCATCTTTCCTGCTTTCCAGTGCAAGGTGAATGGCACCTCTGTCTCTCTCTGTCTCTCTCTCTCTCTTGTGCACGCTCACTCTCTCTTTCTCTGTCACTTGTGGGTCTTGAACTCTGGGCCTAGGCACTGCCTCTGAGCCTTTGTGCTCAAGACTAGCACTCTACCACTTTGAGCTACAGTGCCACTTCCGATTTCCTGTTTCCTGGTGGTTAACTGAAGATAAGAGTCTCATGGACTTTCCTATGGTTTCTTTTTAATGACACGAATCTAAACAACCACAATCTCCCCATCTACAACTTTCAGCTCACTTGGCTTCCTGAATGCCATAATGTGAGTTACTTTGTTCTGCCACACTGTTCCTTCCATTGTGGATTGAACCCTTGAAACCATAAGCCAAGATGACTCTTTCCTCTTTTAAGTTTTTTTTTTTTTCTTAAATGACATTTGGTCACAGTGATGCAAACGCCTGTCTAATATACACATATTTTTTTAATAGTAGCAAAAAGCTAACAGTGAGCCTGCCAAAGAAGAGGTAGAGTGATCTGAGCAAGGATAGGAATCGAGGGAGTAAGGAGGGCCTGAGACAGTGTAGAAACTGGTCTGCTTGAAGAAGAAGAGAGGAGAGAGTCATGCCAAGTACAGAAGGCTCCAAGCATAGGTAAGAGCGACCAGGCCTGGACCATGAACTTTAAGCAGTTCAGTTCTACTGCTTAAAGTGTATGATGGAGCACCCTCTTCCACTCCTTTTAGTATTTTCCCTTTAATTAAGACAAGAAAGGCATCTCAAGAGTTTTAGTTAAGAGATTCAGGCATGGGGCATAGTGAAATGCACTCACAGAAATGAATTTCCCTTCCTGTTCATAATACGTTCTCTAGGCAAAGGATCTTTTGGAGCTATCTACTAGTAATTCACACAACTCTGTGTCTTTAGATCATGGAGTTAAGTCATAAACAAGACCAAACCACAGGACTGCAAGTCACTGAGGAAAAGGACCACATTTTATGCATCTTTATATCCCCAAAGCTTAGCAGAGTTCCTGGTATGGGCCAAGTTCTCAGCATCTATTAAAAGGATGGACCCACTTCACTCCAATCAGCACCTCAGAATGAGCCTGGGTTGGCAATGGGGTCGACTACATGTCTGTTACTACTGAACAAGACATGATCTCTGTACACAGAGTCTCTGGATTATGTTTCATGGTAGTGTGTACTCTAACCTTAAACTCCAGGACTGTCCATCTGAGACATCAGGAACATGGAAGAAGATATGAAGACTTCCATTGCATATGATACAAAGTCTGGAAGAGAAGCTGCTAGGCTGATAGACTGAAGATGTTATAATGCCTTTCACTAGCTGAAAGAACAAGCCCAAACTAAAAGCTTCATTTTTTTAAAACTTTTACCAGTCATTATTTCTTTCACACTAACATCATGGCAACCACAAACTAAATAATTTTGAAAGCAAGGGAAAATTGCCCACAATCTCATGACTCTAAATGACTCAAATTGTATTCTATGTTCCATTCAAATTCAGTTTCTTTTACAGAATTGTAGAAGAAGATTTGACAGGTATATCTATACCAAACCTGGCTCTAATATACTAAAAAATATCCCCCAAACTCAGAATGGGGTATCTTAGTTGAAAGGGGAAAAAACTAGCTGGGTTATTTGAGTTACATACAAGGCTGGTACATACTCTCGCTGCCCCAGCTGACTAAATATGATCTTCGGTTGCATTTGTTACTCCCATACAGCATCCACCTGTGGCATGAATGATCTTCTCCATCCTGGACTTAGCAGCCCACATCAGTTCTATGTGCATTTCTGGCATAGTATTTTAATAACTTGGATGAGTAGAAGATAAAAATGAGAGACAATGTCTAACTGTTAAATTATGGGTAAAAAGTCTAGTGGTTGAAAGTGCAAATACTTTTGTCTCACCACTCTGTTATTCCCCTTTCCTTAATTCAGATAAATATATACATATATGTATATATATACATATACATATACAATACTAGGCTACCAAAATCAAATACAGTGACAACAGGGAATATACCACAGAGGGAAGAACATACAAAAGAAACAAGAAATCATCTAGGACATTAAAAACAACAACAACAAAGAAACACAGCGATATTCACAAGACAATATGTTGGGAATGATCTGTACAACTTGGGGGGAAGTAGGAGAAAAATGAGGGAAGGGGTAATAAGTTTGACAAGAAATGTACTTACTACCTTACTTAAGTAACTGTAACCCTTCT